ATAAGCTCAAGTTTAATGTTTGCAAATAATCGGTGAAACAGTGCACCTTTTCTGACTTTGGACCTTTTTTCCTCATGCGACTGGCAGCATAGGACACTTTTATTACAAATTTTGTTAATCTGGATAGTGAAAACCAAACCCAAGTCTACATACATTTTGTACAGCCAGAAGAACTCACAAAGTGGAGCCTCATTGACTGAAGGAACATTCACATGAATTGGCTGACAAAGTTTTCACATAATTTGCAATGCCCAGCTGCCACTTGATCTCTTGGTGCTTTGTGTGTGGCTCTGTGTACACATGATGACAGGGCCCAGAGCAGTGTGGGCTTCCAGGAACAGAGCCCTTTCATTTCCACCAGCCAGAAAAACCCATTGAGAAGACTGGCCTCCATCTGTCTCTCTCTCTCCTCTCATCTTTTCTCCATTTGGAACTGTGCCTGACTCCAGAATTATTTTGGATTTTCAAAGCTAAATTAATTACATTCATATTCAGTTGGAATAGTTTCATAAAAAATAAATGTTTATATTAATATGAGATTTATAAACAATATAAATTGGATTTTAACCATGAAACAACCAACCAGTATCATAAAATGACCGTATGTATATATGTTCTTATTCCAGTTTATCTTGGATTGGTTGGATTTTACATGCATGATAAGGCAACAAATAAAACCTTTAATTTAGCTAAATTTTAAATATTTTGTTAATACTATTTTTGTTTTGCCTACCTCCCACTCTTGCTTGTTAATGTTGGAAATCCAGAAATATATGAACCCACTGCTGGGTGGGCCGGCTGACAGCACATGCTGAGCCACCACAGGAATAAAAACAGTCACTGCTAACAGTGTTGTCCAGTTATAATTTTTCTGTAATAAATTAAAAGCATTGCAAATTCTGGAAAATACTTTATTTACTTTATTTTTTATGACTAGTTGTTATGTGTTGTGTTAATAAGACATATACTCAGAAAAAGCTTTCCTAAACATCATGTATCATGTAGCTGAACAATCCCATCACTCGGATACTTCACTCTGAAAATTCAGTTTTTGTGGTGTTATGTTATAGTGCTATATCTTTTCATATCCATCAGACCTGTGGGACAAAATCTTGTGTACAGATGAACTGTTAAGCAGCTACAGAGAAGTGCAAAAATGCAAAGAAAGATTATTGAAATCACACCAGAGACAACTTTCTATGTTATGACCACCCAATCTAAATCTCTCTCTCTCTGCAAACTATTGGCTGCACTGTGGCCTTAAGCCCCAGTCTCTCCTGAGAGGCTGTGGGAGAACAGAGGATTTATTGCAGGGAGCAGACACCAAAGGGCAATCAAAGCCACAGATTGATTTTTACTCAAAGTAGGTACACTCCTTGACTAAACACAATTTCTCAATTTTATTACTTTTTTTTTTTTAATGTTTTTTTTTTTATTTGAGGAACATCTCTCGGAGCAGAATTACATTGACTACAGTTATACTATTGATCTTATAATCACTTTAAGCTTCCTTTGAACAAGTTGGATCACTGTTCTGTACTCACTCAGTATCAGATAGCAAAATGAAAAGTGGGCAAAGATAAAGGAGAAAAGCATTTAAATGGCAAACGTGGCAAAAAAAAAAAAAAATATATATATATATATATATATATATATATAAATATTCTGTAAACATAATTTAGAATCAAATATAGAATGAAGAATTTCTGTAAACCAATACAATTGCTGTACATCACAATTGTAATAATGCATTCTAATTATACCATATCCACTGTTACGTTTTAGATATAAAATATATTTGAATCCTTTATGTTTTATTGTGCACAATGCAAGAAAGCTTTAATTCTAATGTGTAATCAAATTCTACAAACTCTGAATATGCCATAAATGGAAAATGTAGTTGATGCATGTTAATGTATTTGTATTTATAATAATTTCGACATCTTGTTAAAATCACCAAAACCTTCTTATTTATTTGTTTGTAAGGGGACCACACATATTAATGAACATTTAAAATGTAAATACGTAAATATTATAGCCAACACGGCTAATTTCCGTCTTCAGTCCCTCAGCAGGTTGATGTCAAACAGCAACAATCACACAAAAGCAAATGTAATTATGTTAGACATGGTGACATATTTGACCATCAAACCACCACTGTTTTAGAGCTTTAGAAAATGCTGCCAGTGTTGAGAGCTCTTGTATATGAGCAGACACTGTGTTCCGTGTCTAACTTGTTATTAGAAGTTATTAAAATGTTGTATGCCAAAATTAAATCTGCACATTTGATTGTGTTGTCCCAATTAAGAAATTTGTATTTGTTAAGATAATTGGTGAACTTTTTGTCTATTACCTTGGTGCTTTTTTTTTTTTATAAATGGTTTCATCACTAATTTAAGAGTAGTTTTGCAGAGTCCAACTAGTCATGCAATAATTTAGGTTCATCAATTATATTTGATTTTGTTCACCGTTCTTTTGGCAGACCAAAGTTATTCGTGTCTTTGCTTGACAGGTAATTTTGTTATGTAACCAACTGCTTTCAAGCCTCCGTTTGCCATCATTTATTGAGAATTGTGTCATATTTTCAACAGTTTGACTCCTAAATACAAAGCTATTACATTTCTTATATTATACTTTTATTTGATCAAAAACACCTTTGGAAAGAGTTCTTCAGAATAATCTGCAACATGTCTTCCTTCAAGTGGCAAGAGGAACACAACATTAGTATAAGTAATAGCAAACATGGAGCTTCTGAAAAGCTAATCAGTGCTGGAAGAGTCTAAATGGAGGCTTAAAGTAAAATTAGATGTAAGTGCTTGCAAAATAGTGTGTTTTGTGTGTGCAAGTAATTTCAGCTAGCAAACAAGGAGAAGTAACGAGTATTGATAGCTAGATAAGTGCGAATGAGGCAGGTTGAATAATGACACGATAGCAAGATAATGAACTCCTGGTGAGAAGGTGACACCACAGACCGCCAACGGATCCAGGAAGCGGAAACACAGAGATGTGAAGGAACAGCAGATGGGGAACTGTTAGGGTGCAAATTATACAATGCATTTGATATGAACCAAAGCAATAGTGCACATTTTTAAGTATTTTATTGTCCTGCGAAGCTTGAAGATAGAGTTAATATTGTGGAGACAAAGAGAGTTCAGAAAAAAGCGGTGGTTCTTTCAAAGGTAGAATATAGAGGGTTTGAAGGGTGAACAATGCTGATAGGTTGTTGACAACCTGTCATTGAGCTGTTGCAAAAAGTCAGAAGCCTTACAATATTATTGTAGGTTATCACAATATTTACATTTATTTACTATTAGTCTCTTTGCTTGAAATCATTGTTATGGTGCAGCATCAGCTAAAAAAACAGAGGGAACTACTTGTACAATGATCTGTTTCATTGCAGACATACAGAAGTTATTAAGCACTTAAATCTTTGTATTGTGACAAAATGAAAGGCTTTTCAAGACCTTTTTTAAAATGAAACAAAGTATAATTTTGTTTGACTACAAAATATCACAATAAATATTGTACTGTAAGATTCATATTGTGAAAATATTGTGCAGAGAAATTTGAAAATCATTACATCCCAACTAAAAAGATGCACAACTCAAGTCTCTACACCTGGACTTTTTTAATGCCACATCAACTAGAAAACAACAAAACACAAAATAATGTATGTATTCAGAATGTATGTAATTATTATTAGTTACTCATTTTACATAACTAATACGAAATACATTTTATGCAGTTTATGTTAACATTAATACATTAATTTAGCAACATAGGTGCCTAAACAGTATTTGCATGTGTACAAGTAGAATGTGAGAAAATACAGAACTGTATCCATGGTAAAAGTTCGTTAGGGTTAATGCAGTAGAGCTGATTGGGGCTGCTCACTGGCATTCGTTAGCACGGCAGATTGGCGAAGTGAAAAGTAGCTGCCAAGTGAGCATATGGGTCGAGGATAGCACGAGGAATGCAAGGCAAAGTGTGAAGTATGGGTGTGACGTTGACATCTCGAGAAGTGTGCTTCCATTGGCACATGTGGTGTTAACTCTGAAATCCCAAAATACATGTGGGGGCTAAGTGTACTAATAATAGACAAAGGGAGTCCTCCATAGGGCCGGGCACCAGGTCGCATAAAAACCCTCACTCTATGATGATCATTGAATTTGGTTGTTATATTGTTTTTCTGTGGTTTATTGCAACTCTGTGCTTCATCTTATTTGTCACTCTCTCATGCCTTGACTGAGTGACAGACATGTTTGTCCAATCACAGTGAAGTGTGAACTCTCTCTAGAAACAGATCATAATGCATTTGATAAAGGGCACATAAAGTACACTATACAAAAACATAATAATCAACACAAAATTAAATAAAATGAAATTGAAAAATTTAAATAAAAACAGGCTGATATTTTACAAGCAAAACTGACTCTTGTGAGCTTTAAACCATGTTGTTACCTCATCAAAAACATACCTGGGGTTTTGTTTTGTTTCATTCCCACATGTTTGTGTAGTCCTTTTATTATTAATCTGTCTACATCTCCAGTGCTTAAATGCTCTGTTCCAACTTGTGATGTCATGAAGTGGTACCTTTCAAGTTAAGAACTGCTTTTCCCTTTAGTTCAGTTGGGATTGGCAATTCCAGGGCTGAAATCAATCAGATGATTTTAGTGAAGGTGTATGGAGTTTAAAAGAACATGGGAGCACTTCCTGTATTACCACATCACATCACAAGGAGTTTTTCTCTGTTTGAGAGAAGAACTCAGCCTAAGTATGCAGGATTTGGGTGTTTAACATGTGGGAGTGATGTTTTTGATGAGGAAACAACATTATAAAATAAAAATGGCATAATACGGGCCCTTTAGAAGCTGTATGAAGCTACCTTGTGTACAGGAATGACAACACTAGTGTTCTGAAAATCTAAGCAATATTTGGCTTTTTTGAAGCTACATTTTAAGGGGTCAAATTCGTTAATCCTGTTTCTTTTTTCCTTGTAGCCAACCAGTGAAGAAGACCTCTGCCCCATCTGCTATGCTCACTCCATCTCTGCTATCTTCAAGCCATGTTCCCACAAGTCCTGCAAGTGAGTCCAAAAGCAACAAACACACTCACCTGCTTTTCATAGATATACCTCTGATCTACTGCATCCTTGGAGAAACAGCATGAATTTTGAAAAAGTTTATGGATTAAACCAGCTTTTGAAAGTTTCTCTTCTGTGACATCAGGCGGTATCCTAAGCTCCACTGCATTAGTTCTGAGACAAAAAGAAAGAATATGAAAAAAAACAAACAAAAAAACAAGCAAAATACGGCTTGGCTAAACAACACAGAGCTCTGATTAATTTAAATGTAAATGCTGTTGCAGACTCACCATTTTTCAGGCCTATAGACAAAAATGTTAATCTGTTTATTTAGTCCACATAACTACCGTGGCTTTCAAACTTCCTTTTTAAACATTTCCCATTGTTTCTCCCCATAAATTGTAATGCATTACAATTCAGTTGCAGGTTATGTATTTCTATTTCTGTCCCTGCTGACTATATTATGCTTCATCAAAACTGAATATTGCTTTTCCATACATTCTAAGGAGAGCTTTAAGGTCAAGGGAAGCTTTGAATTGTTATAGCGACTGAAGGACTCTCAGTAGATTCCAATGAAACTATGAAGGACAGTATCCTTTTATCATATGCTGCTTTGACGTCCATATGTGCAATGCAAGAAGGAATGCCACTCGTGCCTTCAATTTTACTCACCCTTGGAATTTAAATGAGCGAATAATCAATGCACATGTTGGCTTTGTGCATAGTTCGGGCCTTATCTGCAGTAACTGGTTTGTCCTCAGACCTTGGTAAAAGAAAAGAAAGGCTTCCCCTGCTGTTTTCTTTTACCATGTCTCAGCCTTCATGTATTAAACACAACTCTAACTCCCTGAGCACTGCTGCCTCTAGCATTCATTCATCTGTGTGCTCCATTGATTTAAACGACTGACAAACGCGAACAAAATAAATAAACACGCTCCACCAGAATTTCTTGTAGCTTTTCCAAATCAATACTTCAAAAAGCTTCAGACAGAAATTGTTTGTGACACTGGCACATCTCCAGAAATACAAAAATGTAAAAAATTAAAAAAACACTGTGCGTATTTGTATTGAATATTTCATATGAAAACACACACACATTTGCACCTGTGTGAGTCAGCTGTTTTCTAACTGCTGACCGTGGACAAACCCATAGCACCACCGGCAGCTGACCTTGGTCCAATTCATATCTCGATGCATATTTCATGTTATCCTAGAGCTAGGCTTGATTTAGCTTAGCTGGCATGTCGGCTCAGCAGCCTTATAGATTATTCTGGTTTGATTGAGAACTTGGTCTCAAGGAGTGAACTATAGTGACACAAGCTGATTCTGCACACCTGCCCAGCACCTCTGACATATGTAACAAACAAATTTGATATAATTTTAAATCGATTTTAAGCAACAGCAGCATTTTGTCCATTGATTTATACTGGAGAGAAACCAAATTATTAAAGTAACATGTTACGTGAATATAATATAAGTATAAAACATAATAAAGCACATTTCATTGAACTATTTCCACTTGAGAGCAGCATATAAATAGTACAGTAAAATATAAAAATAAAGTATAAAAAATAATTCAATACAAAACAGTTTAAATTGTTGTGCATTTGTTGTCACTGGAATCATTATAAACCAATAAGCTCCAATATCTAATACAAGAAGCTTTGTACACAGTATATAAATATTAGGCAGACTTGGCCTCATGTGAAACAAAGTCTAATAATGCTCTCATTTGTTTCTCCAATATCCTTTTGTCTGTTCAGAGCCTGCATCAATCAACATCTGATGAACAACAAGGACTGTTTCTTCTGCAAAGCCACCATTACAGGGGTCGAGGACTACAGCAAACCTCAAGGATCCTAACAAACTGCAAGAGCACTAACTCCACACGCACACACACACACACACACACATACACACACACACACACACACACACACACACACACACACACAGAGGTCTGCAGGAATCATTTAAAATAATAAACACAGATGTATATGACGTGTATAGTAAACTCCAAACTCAGTCATCAAAAGCACTTCTTTCTGACATATCAGTAAACCCAAAGATTTTACAAGCGTCTGTACTGTATTTATGTGGTTAAAGGGACATAATACAAAAATACTGCAGAATTATTGTCAGTATTTACTTGTGGGGAAAATGTAAATGGACAGCACGTGAAAAAGGCTAAAAATGCTCGAAATGTATGTTATGTTACAAAGATGCTGGTGTTAAGTTTACTCATGGCGCAATTGTTGTAGTTTATGTAATAATGCCATTTTAACCAAACTATTTTCATTTAAAATCCAAAGTGGGAAAAAAATGCAAACTGGATAGTCAGAAGCCACTTAGTTTGCTTTGTTTTAAAGCATTTCTGTATATAAAGTTTAAAAATCATGAAGAAACTAGACAAAATATAACAATTTAAATTGTACAGGTTTATATGAACTGCATATATAAATATGTGTAAAACCATATACAGCATCTCTAATTTTAACTTCTATTATCTACTTAAATGCATATTTATGTACAGGACCTCCTTGTATTTTAAAGGTCCCTTTTCTATTATTAATCTGCCAGGGGTCTAAATTTGTTCGTTCAGTGTATAAAGGTTTGTTACAGTTCATATTGTTAAACATGTTAAAAGCAGATCATGAGTTGTCCATGAGTTGTAGTAGGGTTTGATTGCACAGTAGAAATTAATGTGCAGTTCGATCCATTTGAATGAACTGGAATAAACCCTGGCTTCCAGGAGCCTGGCTTCAATTGATTCAAAGTTTGAGTTATTCTCCTGAAGAATAATATTTCCTTCATTGGTAAATATATTATCAACTAAAAATATCAATAAGGATAAAGATTATTAACATAACATTGTACTGTTTTTGAGCCAAAACCATATATATCATGTCAAACAAGAGTCTAGCTAGGGTTAATTAATTCCTTTAGTCTTTTATGCTTAATTTTGATATATTTTGTCAATCTGCTGACTTTTTTTTCTATTTGGCCAATTCGTTTGTCATTTTATTGGGTGTCAGATTAAATAACATTCACACTGGCTGAGGTCAAAATGAAATATTGCTTGAACCTTGCTACTTGCTTGTTTCAGGTGTTTCTTCTATTTTATGAGACCACAAAATGATTTATTGTTGTGTTAAATAGAAAGCCTACGATGTGAGGGGACACACTGTTCCCTGTACAGCACTTATAAGGCACACTGCAAAGACATGGCCCTGTATGTTCCTAATAAAAAATAGTGGGAGCTGAGGGGACGACAGTGCTGTCCTCCAGTGTAAGGATGAGCTGTCATATTTGCACAACAACTCACCCCAACCTGTCACCGCATGTACCCTCTTTTTCACCATACTCTGAACTACACATCACCTTTACTAGTGTGCATGGAGCAAGTATACAATGCATCCATAATAAATGTCATTCATTACTGGCTGAGGAGGAAGTCAACAGTCATTCTAACTGTATAAACAGGACAATAAACAAGACAGATTAGGTCTGCATCTGAAAGCCTTTGTAAACAGTTTAATCATAATACATTTGTGTTCATTTGAAATTCTGCTTATACTGTAGGGTACCAGTGTGGTCTATTGTTTTTTCAGTGTGGCAAATAATTCCAAAACACTGCTATCAGGAAATCACATATGCTATGGTTCACAGTAATATAAATAAACCAGCATAATGTTACAGATACAGGTGAAAAGATATGATTTTACTCACATTCAAGACCAGGGAAAACTTGATCAATAAATTGGATTAGTGATTGTACTCTATTGATTGTAGGCCATTACAAGGTGATTTTTAAAGACTGCAAATAAACTATTGTGGTGTCAGTTTACACAGTGCATCCAGATCAGTAACTCAACACCAAATTGTTGATAGACATGCTACCAATATACTGTGTTTTTGTATGTTTACATTATTAAGGCTTTCCATTTAAGTTCTTCTCATTTTATTTTATTTTATTTTTTAAAGAAACCTATTCGAAGAGTTGTTTATAGATGATTTATTGCACCCTGTATTATTTACACTGACAAATTTAGTATGGGCCATGTCAAATCTAACTGCCATGTTGTCAAGTATTCTTACTAAAGGCCCGCATGGTGGAAGGTGGATAGAATTTACAGAACAAAAACTTTTTCTGAAAACAAAACAATTTTCTGAAATAAAGTGGTGAAATAAATTTTTTGTGGCTCCACATAGACAACTGAATGAAACTTTAATCATGTCTAAAATATGAAAGGATTTGTCTGAGGGGGAAAGGTTATGTAGTCAATGGCATGTTTCAGCTTGTGTCCGAGAGTGCATAGTGGTACTTATAATAATATATATTCTAAGCATGTATTTGAGTGAATGGAGTGCCTATCATGTGGGTTTACAGAGTGCTCTTGTTGTCAAATGATTGTAACGGCTGCACTAAGCAATATTAAACAGACTATTGCGTTTGTTTTGACTTTTATCTTTTTGGGCAATTTGTAGAGAACTTAAAGTGTAGAGGAGAGAAGGGCTCTTACCCGACTGTCTCTTCTTTGTGAGTGCACAAAATGTATGGACTGTGTAACTGCATTAAATTATTTATTCAAACCGGTTTATAGCCTCTGTGCTCATTATTTTTTTCTTCGAGGTTGTTCTATTTTAATTGCAACAAATGAGATTGTTCTTCCCCAAAGAAAAGCTTCAGTGAAGTGTGAATGAACACTAACCCTTCCCCTTGTTTTTAATATCTGAACATGGCAGGTGCTGAAAGAAACAAACTAAATCATATTTTCCATGTTTTGGCTGTTTTGCTCAAGACCACATTTTGAATTGAACATTTTGAACACATCTGAAATAGTTGGGATGGAGCAAAGAAAAAAAAAATCGAAATTATATTTTTTATCCAATTCTAGTGTCACTTGACATTGTCCAAAAACATGAAAATATCTCTTACTGCTTTCTCTACTGAAGGACAGGTAGCACATCTTATCTCTTTCTCGTGAGTTTTTTAATGCCTCTACAAAAGAGGAAATGTCTTAGGATCAGCATCTTATCTGAAGCTGCAAAAATGAAAATATTTTTACAAAGACAACCTTTTTTTTTTCATATTGAACTCAACTGTCAACTTCTCTTTTCCTTGTGATTCTGTCTGTGTAGTTTATTTTGGCATCAGGTAAAAGCAAATAACTACAGTGACATTAGAATGACATTTAAAAAGCAATCATCAAGGCTGTCACTTGAAGAAGATGGCTTCTTTACGTCACATAATGTGTCTTTTTATACCAGGAAGAAAATCAGCTGTCAGACACATCTCCAGGCTTGAATTTTCATCAGTCACTTCTATTTATCCACAAGTTCTAATGTAAAACTTGAAAATGTTTTTCATGATTTGTGATTTTAATTATTTTAATTTGCTACTAATTTAACTTTCATAACAATTTGATGGGGAATCTCACATAATTCTCCATAAATTGTAAACACAGCTCTAAGTGCAGTGGCTCAAATGTTGGTCTGTACACAAGGATCCTGCTAATGATGATAATGACCGTGAAAACCAATATTGTGTCTTCCTTCTTTCATTCAGTATTATGTTTCTGAATCACAGTGTATTTGAGTGACAGGAGATAAGACCCCAGCCCACTGTGTCACTTTGACTCCCCTCACCCTTTGGGCTTTCCCCTCACTGAGCACAGCTGAGCTCCACTGGGAGGAACCACAGCATTCTCTACTTTTCTGGTGGCGGGTTCACCACCTGCTTGTCTTCATGGAGATGTTATTGCTTTGCTAGAAATGTTTCACAGTGTAGCAATCAACTTCTCCATCTTATTTTTATTTAAATGGGAGTGTTTTATGGCCCTTCTTATTGCGAACATGGGCCAATCCAGAGATCTGACTAAACAGGCCTGGTGGCATCACCCGCTTGTCTATACGGACACAAATATACATTTAATGCCAAACTGTTGAAATTTACATGCAAAAGCAATCATTTCTGCACAGAGCTCATCTCTGAAGTCACAGTGTATGATTTCACATTCTAACCCAGTCTAACCCCATTTCTGTGTCACCTGTTTGCCTGACTGATCCAGAGCACATACAACAGCCTGACACCAAGTTCAGAGTCCAGTTTATAGATTGGAGATAAAAATAGCGACTAGGGGACGCGAGATGGCAAGGAGGCGTTGACGGCACAAAAGAGTCGGGCGAGCAGAGAGTCGGAGGAGGAGGACTGCACAAGGGCATCGATAGCAGTGAGTATTTATAGTGGAACAAGAGCCTTCCTTTTTACCCCAGATCGATGAAGAAGCAGAGCAGGACATGACCTGTCCACAAATGGCTACATGCTGAGGGTATGTGCTCCAAACAAAGGAAGTGGGTCAATGTGAAAGATGGGTCAGTGAAAGCTTTAGCAGAGTTTTGTTCAAAAATACTAGCTGAGAGGTTGTTATTGGTTTACTTGCTTAAGTGGCTATTCACTGTTGTATAGGATATATATCAGTTACAAGTTACTCAAATGAAATATAAAGTTTTGAAAAATGTTAGAGTTTGACAGCACCAATCTATCAAACTTCAGGACGTGCTAAAGCGATACTGAGTTTGTTGTTTTGCATTATTCATTTGTCGTCAAGCCAGAGTCGCCTGAAATGTGGTTTCCAATCTTTGCCTATGGTCACAAAGGCATTCAGACATGGCCAACACGGGTGAAGTGTCTTGACAAAGGATCCCCATATACTGCCTAGGTTTGAGCAGCCAGCCTTCAAGTCTGTCCACAGAATGTTTTTAAGGCTTTATATTGACAAACTATTGAATGTTCAAGTGCATTTTTGGAGACATATTTTGAAGCTCTTGGTAACAAATTTGGAAGTGAATTGATTTGACTTTCTGGGAAGCATTAGGCTTAGGTGTCATTCAATAGCACAACAATGATTTTTGGGAATCACAAGCAGTTTATAATTTAAAATGTTCAATAAAAGGCCCCTGCAATTTCCAAGTCTACAATTAAATAACTCACTACAAGTTGCACATTATAGAAGTCAATGCTATATTACATATTACACTATTCCATATTTAGTTTCATTTCCAGCTGTCTTAATGCTGGCTTTTCAAAGATTTGTTGTTTTCTGCTGTAATTTCACCGCCCATGCATATTCTATACACCCCATGCCTTGTAATTGAAGCTGCATATATGGCTGTGGGCGAGGGGCAAGTCCAATAAACAATGTAGTACTGATGTGCCACTGTGCAGCAGCAGACTCCATGCTGCTGGCCAGGGCTAGCCTGACGCTCTTTGTTCCTTCAGTGTGCTATACTTAGGTAACGCTGAAACTTGATCATGGGCTAAATCAAGAAATACTTGTTCTTCATTAAGGATGTATTGTCTGAATGACATTCTAGACTATAAGCAGTCGCTCTCTCTACAGTATGTCTTATTACAAAGCTTTTTGGTTTGTGCATGCTTTACTGACAAGCATAGTACTGTCAAACTCTCACAGTTACATTACTCTTATGAATACTTCTATTGACTGGTATTGTGAGCCCGTTGACAGAAATTTGGGGGCCTAGGGCAAGAAGCCTCACATGTGTCCTCTCTAATATAAATTAATAGGAAGAGGCTACAGTTTTTGTCCCCTAAGGCCCCTGTCAACTCTCCTCTCCTCTGAGTGTAACACATTTAAGACTTTATTGAAATATTAGCATCATATTATGAACAAGAAAGTGTATGTGGTGGTTCTGTGCAGTGATGTCACACATGTAGATGGGGGCAAAGTTCTGTTTTGATTATACTGTATTTTCAAAATTGAATATGAATATGGGGAATGATGATAGCATGATGAAGCAGATCATATATCTTACTATACCAATCATTTCCATATATTTAATGAAAACATTGGTGTAATACTTATATCCTTAGTATCCATTTCCAGATGTTGGGCTAAGCTTGGTCAGGACTACTATACTGGAGGATTTTACCTGCTCATTTACCTGTTCACAGTTTGGATCAGAGGTCAGCAACCTTTTCCTCTCAGAGCTACGCACAAAAATGATGGATAGCTACCCCAGTTAACGACCATAAGAAACTGGCCTAATATAACAGTGACAGATAACCTTGGATGGGTGCAGTTAAATGCCGGTGAAACAAACCATTGTTACAATTGACAGTTGGACATCTAAGTATGGATATACAGTGATAATAGATGATGATATTTATCAAACTTTGATTATTCACTGTACTCTGTAGATTTCCTAAACCATTGGAGCTACAGTTTGAACGCTCTTGGTTTGTGATGATGGAGAAACAACGAGGCCCAAAGGAAACCTACCCAGACACCAAAATAAGCATGCAAACTCAGCACAGAGAGCCCAAACGCCACCTTCGTGCTGTGAGGTGAGAATGTCAACCACTCACCTGCCACTTCTTCTCTACTACACCATCTCAAATATCATCTGGAACACAGCAATGGGCAAACTCAACATCAATTCACTTGTTTTATAGATGACATTTATTTGAACTATTGTGAGATGCCACATTGCCAGCAGGCCAGGGATCGATTTCACTTCCACATAGTTGTGCTCTTTTACTACAGGTGCAGTACAGGGTCTAGCTTGTAGGAAACACTTGGTCTGTTAAATCCACTCTGAGTGTGTCATTCTTTCCAGTGAACAGAGATTTCCACATCAGTACAGCACTAATTAATCTCAGCTCTATACTCAAAAACTCTAGTGCTCTTCAAATGTGGGCTAATTGTGCTCCATTTGCATACTCTATATTGTATTTATAGATACATGCTTTGTAAATCAGGAAACAAGCACAACCATGGGAAAAAAACATATCTGTCAGTACTCTAAAAAGAAAACGTAAACATATGGTGTGTGTAATTGTGAGCTGTTTTAAAATGATGTTACTTCAGAATAATCAATAACATTTGTAATCGTGACATCACCAGAGTTCAAAACAGATTAGCCTAACTCTACAAACAAAAGAAAAAGATAAAAGTTCATTATCCCTTCATATTAAGATGAGTTTTTTTTGTTGTTGTAGTTTTAACTGTTAACTTTACTGTCTTTGATGAAGGGAAATAGCCTACTACTGCAACCCACAACACCACCAGTGCATTATCCCCTATGTAAAGGTTGACTTTGTGGCTATTAATGACCCAGTGTTGTATAAGAGCGCACATTCAAAGGAATAAATGTTTGCACAGATGAATGTCTCCCAGAGTGCAGTGCGGTCTATACTTATTGAGAGAATATCAGATTACCAACAGACTTAAGAGCATGCACCGGTGCTTCCTGAAAGAGCACTAAGCTGCACCATAACTGTGGTGAGTGCATAAGTGTATGGGGAACCTATGGGCTGTAAATCATGTTCAGCTGACTATAGTAGATGTCTCTTAGCGTGGAGCGTTTCCCTGCTATACAGAAGCTTGTAGTATGTATAATAGGCCACTGACTCCCCCTAGTGGAAGAATCATATTTAGCAAGCTGTAGAGATGAATACAGCTGCAATAAAAACAAATAAGAAAAAATTTGGTGACATGATCAAAACAAATAACCTGAATAACAATTATAATGCTTATTTATTCTTAATTCCCAAAAAACACTGGACAGTATGTC